TATCCTGGTGATTGAACGTGACAAAGATCGCGTTATTCATTCTCTTTTGGCGCCCGTCTTTGAATTCAGCATTAACGGTTGATCGCTCGTACGTTTTAGTAGATTTCACTTCCAAAATTATATCAAAATGGTTTTTACGTGTTTAATGCAGATTTAATGCATAAATTAATTGTTTAACGGGAATGGAGTGACCAATCATCACTATGCCTCATGGTATGAAGTTCATACCATGAGGTAAAAATAGAGGGTGGTGTTTTTCTTTTAAATTGAAAACCACACGGAAAAGTTCAGACACTTTTGAGGGAAAAAAATTCACAAACTCAGTATCTGGGTTTTGAATCAAGTCAGAAACGTTGGTATGTAGTCCAAATTCTAGTGTAAAAGAATCCTAGAGGAAAAGAAAACGAACAGGTCGCACGCCCATCAGCACTTGAGGCCATTCAATAAAGGCCATTAAATTGTGCAGTCAATATTTTACAGCAGTGGGTTAACTTTCCTAACTTTACTGAATAATTTTGTTTTACGCCCTCTGAAAATGGTGCAGTAATCTGTTTTTTCTTTAGATCTATCACCCAGTAAGCTGATCTCCTACAGAGCCGTTTTTTGGGATGTCACGCAACGATAGCCCCAAAAGGGGCTAGTAGTGAGCCTGCGTGGCCATGCACCTATTTCCCCCCCCCAAAATATTTCTCATTTGGTTTTGTTTAGACAGTGTCACTCATACGGTCTTTCTGAAAGATAATGCCAACTGCTATTTAATGCTAGACCACGAGTAGTCCCTCTTTTGCTTAGTCCGTTGTTGCGTGACGCAAAAGAAAACTGCAAGACAAAATAGATGCGCAGAATCCTAGAGGCGAGGAGTGCACTTCTCGCCCCCAGGATTTTGCACGGCTATTTTTTATCGCAGTTTTCTTTCGCGTCACGCAATGACGGACTAAGCGAAAGAGGGACTACTCGTAGTCTATTTAACGCATGCAGTATTTACTGTGCTTTTATGTCTACGCAGAGAAAATGAAGCTTGATCTCTCTCTCTCTTCATCTGTTTCATGTCACAGAGAAAAGGATTGACATTTACTTCAAGTATTGCGAATCTGTTTTATTTGTGTTTTAGCATTTATTAAAATAACACATTTAAACCTGAAAAAAACACATTAACAGCGGGGGGTAGCTGTGGCATTTTTTCTCTGCAAAGTGGCAAACCCCCTCATTCCTAAATCTGCAGCTGAGGGAATCAGAACGAGCCGCGACAGATCAAGAAAATAATATTTGCCTTCACTTTTTACCTCGTTGTTCAAGGACTCCTTGCCGAGGGGGCAAAGAATTGTGCCATAATGGATGTTCCCATGTGCAGGAATGCAAGGAATGGAACTTACAACACTCCAGTGACTATGGAAAGAGAGGCGGAGATCAATGAAAATGGCCTAAGGCACTTCGTTCCACTGGTTGCCATTAACTGTTCTCATATCACACTTCTTTTTGTTTGTTTAATGCATATGCCATTTTGTTCAACTCACATCGAACTTCCACCACTTCTGCCATGCCGTTCTGTTTGCAAAGATGTTTATTTCAACTGCATCAAGTACTACACCGCTCTCAATCTTTTCTGGCCACAGCACTTGAACTGCACCATCTTTCCACATCATTCGACAGTTTGTATCAAGCCACCTTCATCTTCTGCACCATCAACAGTAGCCTCACCGACTGAACCATGAACGCAGCACGCCTCATCATTTGTTTTAAACACAACAAGTTTTACTTTACCCACATCCCCAGTTCTACCTCCTTCTAACCAAGCAACGAACATTGACTTCACGGATTCAAGTTTTCTTTTGCTTGCAGCTTATATTTCGCCAAAAATTTTATTTCTCCTGGAAATTGCTTTCTGTTTACTTGTTGCTTTTTGCTCATGGATGATATAAGTCATTCCATGAGCTTAGAAGGCAGTCGAATTAGTCGAATGGCACTCACTCACTCACTCGATTCTGA